GTACGAAGAGGCATCCTCAACTAATAAAACTATCAAAATATATGAAGGGTTGCTACATGACCTCCTCTTTGAACAAGAACATAAGGCCATTGTGAATGACATAATCGAGTGGTTAAATGGTAGACTATATTAGCTTAGGTTTTGCAATGATAATACTACATTCTCCGACAAAGGAAATGAATGAATTGCTACTTAAAGCATTCTAGTCAAGTAAATGAATAAAAAGGCATGGTGTGACCATATAAGATTGCATTTCTACGTTGAAACATATGGCTGATGATTTTAAGAAGTCATTCCTGTAAACAACATTTTTTTTTTTCTTTTTTGGTTTAGAGAGTCAAGTTGTCATCAACTAGTTTTATGCATTTTAAGAGTTTAAGAGCAATGTTTAGGACACACTATCTCATTAGCCTGACATATTTGATAAAATTAATTTTTTTAAGTGCTGACTTTAAATTGGAGTCTTAGAGTTAAATTATAAAATAATTGTTATTTATTAGTAAATCTAACTTTATAAATGAAATTTATCTCTATTTCCTTGCCTTTTTTTTTCTTTTGTTTGGTATCTCAACAATAACAGATGAAAAATTTTACCAACAAATAGAAGAAGGGGCATAGAAAATGGAAAAAAAAATAGCTTTATAGAAGACTAAAATCTTTTTTGTTTTTTTGGGGTACATAAAAGGCTAAGTTCATTTGAGTAGCAATGGGGATACCTTACATCACTATGGCTTTATAGAATTCTTCAATGAACTAGATAAATGCTCGGCTTATTATTAAAAGTGCGCAAGATGGTCTTCAAATTCAATCAAAATGGATAGAATTTGAATTAACATAAACTAACTCTATGATTTAAAAATTTATAATTGAATTTTATATTTTTCAATCAAATCAAATATAAGATATATGAATTACAAATCAATTCTACAAAAATTTAATCAAAACAAACACAAAGGAAAGAATTCAAATCATGGGATTAAAATAAAAATTTTTAATCAAACCAAAACAGCATGTAAACTTTATGTGCTATAATATCTCCTATGAATGATGAATTTTTATAAGTCAAGAAAAATTACAAAGGCAAACCAATTTTTTTTGTGGCAAAAAAAAACTGTTTTTTTTTTTTAAATTAATGTGGTTCACATCATCATTTTCATTTTCTTACATTTTTTTAAAATAATATGATTAAGCTCTAGACTAAAGAATAGTTCACTCATTTCTGTTAATTCCTTCTCATTGGCCTTAAGAATTTAAGAGTATATTTGGATACAAATTAGTAAAGGAAAGGGGAGATAAAAGAGGGGAAGTGAAGGGAGGGAGAGGGAAGGAGAGGGATGGATTAGTAATAACTTTGTTTGTATGGTTTAAAAAAAAAAAAAAAGGAAAAGAACTAATAACTTGTTGGTTTGGTAGAAAAAGTTTGATTCTACTTAAATAAAATTTAGAATTCAAGTTTCATAAATGGAGAGATAAGTGGTGAGAGAACTTCCTTTTTATGGAGTCGGATATAGCTTGACTTCAATTTAACTAAGGTCTAATGTGGCTTTCAAATATAGGTAGTTTAGTAAAAGGAAAATTAAAAAAAGAAAAGAAAGGAGATGGAAATATTATTTTTTTTTAATTAAATAAATTTGGGAAATTTTATTATAAAATTAATTAAAATTTTAAAATTTTATCTATTGGAATAAAAGTTAAAATAAAATTTTTAATTATATATTTAAAAGAAAACTAAAATAAAAAATAAAAATATAACCATCCCTCTAAATTCTTTTAAATTGGAGAAATTAGAAAACAAAGGATTTGGAGAGGTTTCATGCCCTTCCACCCACCTCTCTTTCCTTCTATCTCCTTCATTAAATCTATCTAAACAAGGGGAAGGAAAGAGTCCCCCTCACACTCCTCTCTTTTTCCCATATTCCTTAATTCAAACAAAGATTAACTTTATAATTTACAATTTATAATTTTATATTCTTAATTACTTAAAATATTTATTGTATGCTTTTCAATCATTATTCAATAAGTTATCATCATGATTCAAAGTTAAGAACCATAATAAACAAAAACAAATGTCATCATAAAACATTTCTTTTCGGTTAGCATAAAACTTTTTGTAGATCAAGTTACATACACAATTTTAATTACATAACTATATTCATAACTTGAGGTAATAATTGATGTGACATATATATATTTAAATTTTAATATCACGTTTAATTGTAAATGAATTTTGTAATTATTGTGCCTGAAATTATGTAATTAAGGTTGTGTATATAATATCTTTAAACATTTATTCTTAATTCTTATAGTTGTGTTATGGTAATCATTCTTAGTTTTAATCAAGATTAAAATTTTAAATAAAGAGAATTTATTGAAAGACTCTCTCTCTTTTTTTTTTTATCCCACTTAAGTATATTTATTTAAGACCTTATCTAAATGATAAGACATTTCTTATTAATATAGTGTGTATGGAATTTGTTATTAAATAAAAAAATATTTTATAATTTACATTATATTAAATTATAAAATATAAATTTTTAGATGAGAAATAAATCTTTAATATTAAATTTT